AGACAGTGCTCTTTAGAAAGTGCATAGGGATAGATTAGTGTAGGGCTTGTAGGAACAGGTGCAATAAAGTAGATGTCAAACCATCCATCAGTGTCCTTTAGATACCAAAGTTCTATGTATCTTGAGGAATTTTGGGTAGGGGGGTGCTGCTGCGTGCTTATGTGTGTCCCGCAGTTTCTTTACAGACTCACCACATGCACTGTCTACAGTCATAGAAAGGCAAATTTTCTATTCTTTGCTGGCTACATGTTTTTACAGCGTGTCCCTCAGCCCATATGCATTTCACTGTTAAGCAGTATTGTATTTATGTATTGTATTTATGAGCAGCGACTGACAGTCACTGATCTCTTCAGGGAAAAGACCATGAGCTGAGGGATCAGTGGTTCTTGATCGCTCGGCCATCGATCTATAGAGTTGGCATGTGACACGATTTAAGTTTGCAACTTTTGGACTTCACCATGGACTCAACAAACGCCTCCCAAACCAAACCCAGACACATTCGCTCATCCCTAGCCCTAAACAATAGCAGAAATCTGTTGTGGCAGAAGCCCTCAAGACCATTCTGTGCCTGGAGATAGTTTCTTAGACTGGCAACTTTCCCACTGAAATCAGCATTATACAAATATGGTTATTGGCATTGAGGTATGTTTACAAAGCAGTGAATGTGACATTCCCCAAACATTAATTGCAGGTGTATCAATCACTGTAATTGCAAGCACATTCACCAGGAAATTAACTGCATAGTATTTTATAAATGTTATATTTACTGCCTTAAATTATACCCCTTCAAGACTCAATGTGTTACTACATATAGTATGTGTGTCAGGGATAGAGCAGACCATCCTAAATATGAAAAGTTTTGATAAGAATATATTTTTCTTTTGTTCGCTTTGCTTGAATGCTTGTTCTGTATGCAATGATAGAAGAACAGTTTTTCTGAAATTGCTATGATGATTTTATTTTGGAAACTAAACAACTTATGTGTATGTGTTACAAAGAAAGCCATAGGGAGAAGGAGCATGGTAACAGGATAAGTTAATTTTCAGCAAAATGTACATCTCTAGTTCCATGCTGGGTGATAAGTGCTGACATTAGAATGCTGTTTTCAAATAATAAACACTTCCCAGTAGAAACAAATCTCTAAGAATATCATTTACCTCTGCTGTGAATCTATTTGTGTACCTGTGAAATCACTACTTATGAGCCTCTGAGAACATCTCTAAAATATTGAAACACTATGGAGAATTTTATAGAGTGAGTAAATAGTATGCAGTTGAAACCAAACGTTGAAAGGGAATTCTAACTCTTTTTGTTCCGAGAAATAATGTATGTAAAAATGACATTATGGAGATAACACTGCTATGGCATAGCGAAACACATACTGCAGATGTGTATGTAGATTTATATAATTATATCTAGGGGTGATTTTGCTGTTACCTTTTCCAGCCATGTTTTGCTCTCAAAGCCACTACTTTGAAGACCATCACACACATATTTTAAACTGCAGAAGAATATTTAAAGCTAAACTCTTGGAACAAAAACTTTAATTTAAATATCTTCCTCTTTTGCCTTTGTGTGTACATACTTTGTGTGTCCCAGATAGTTGCATAGTCAAGTTGAAAAAAGACCATTGAGTATAGCCTATAGAAAAAAAAAATTGAAAAATAATCTATAAACGTAACCCTGTGCCCACAGTTACACACAGTTGATCCAAAGGAGGGCAAAAAAACCCCCTCAAAAAATGGTTCAATTTGCTCGAACAGGGGAAACAATTCTTCCTGATCACCTAAGGCTATCGTAAACTACGCCTTTGCAAACACAGTTATACCCTTTTAAAGCAGCAGTGACATCATCACTGTGCGGTACATAACCTATAAAGAGCAGAGCTGTGGGAGGGCCCCAGCAAGCCCCGCCTACCACTGGCTGCCTGCAAAAAAACACAGGAGGGGGCGAATACAAAACCAGTCACCCTGCACAGAGACAGAGAACAGCAGTGACTGGTCTTTATTACAGCAAATTCCTGCACAAAGGATAAGTTTTTTCACTGGATTACTGCATAGATCTGGAAGAAATAAACAAAACACACCAAGATTCAAGTAGGAATACACATACCGCTTGTATTTAGACATTCTATTGTACTATCCAAAGGTCCCCCAATTTTGGCCCACACCTGTGGGACTGGACACTGTAGACTTCAATTGAAAGCCTTTTGAGGCCTGGTTCACTCCTAGGCGTTTGAGCTGTTTTTGCGCGTTTATCACGCAGTTTTCTTTGCGCGATTTTGCTTAGAAACTGATAGAGGTTCTAACACTTCATCACACTATGACATTTTGGATGAGGTTTAGCTGATATTTCTGTGGGTTTGTTCAGCAGTTTCTTGTCTGCTTTTAGAGAGAAAAGGTATTAAAATGTAACTGTTTCATGGCCAAGGCCTTTTTTTGTTTTTTGCACACATTATAAAATCCACATTTTAGTCCTGAATATTACTTCAAACCACAAAATATTATATATTTTCTGAAAGCCACCACACTGTAAAATAAAATTGTGGCATTTGCAAAGTTTAATGTTGCAACTTATTATCAAACCCCCACATTTTGTGAAATTGCACTTAAAGGAGAACTATGAGGTGAGTGCTTTTCACTCACCTCATAGTTCTAGCCGACCTGTGACAATGAGACTGTCACAGGTCGGCTCATTAGATCGGGAGGTGAGCGAACACATACCGGCGTTCGCTCACCTCTCGATCCTGTCACAGCTCTCTGCCGTGACAGGGAAGGGTCTGGATTCCCCTTTCCCCGCTCCGATCCGCCAGCGCTTTACCATTTTTTTTTATTATTTCAACATTTATTTTATTGTATATTTTTTTAAACTGTTTTGTTTCCAAAAGACCCCTTGTATATCCTTTCCACTTTAAATAAGCTATTGAAGTGCAGATTAAAGGGAAACCCGGCACTGTCAGCATGGATTCACAAAAGTTGTCAAATGAATCTACTCACTTTTTATGAAGAAGTAAGCAAAAAATTAGACAAAAGAATGGCTGTGGATATAGTTGTGGCATACAAATGTCAGAATTGTTTATCCCTATACCTGGTTCAGGTCACGACTTAGAAAATATTAGCATGACAGCCAAGGAACTAACATTTTTATAAGAACAGCTCAGAAATAGCAGCCTCCAATTCTATCATGACAGTTATACATTAAAATGATTGTAATCAATTTTGTTAAAGCTGGTGATGATTAAATTTAAGAATCTGGGGATTTTGAAATCCAGGAAATCATTATTCATACATTTATTAATGATTCTAGGGAAGTGAAAAAAGGTCACAGCTTGCGATTTTTCTGATTTGTGAATCAATTCAACCATCACTAGTCCTCTCTAAAGAAAGAGTAGGCTTATGCATACTGTATGTGTCAGTGTCCCTAGATTGGGTAGGAGATTCCCATTTCTTCACTGGGAACATTGGCACATCTCCACCTATCATTGGTGGTGCTTTCTATGACATCAGTGCTGCCTCTGTGCTCTGTGATGTAATTCACTATAGTGCAAACCAATATTCTTTTCCATTCCATCCTCTACAGACATCCTCTGCAGCTCTATGTGAGGTTGATGTCCTTTACAGAGCTGTAGAGAATGCAATATGGAACATGTTTATACCTCCCCAGAGATGTGATAATGCCCAGTTTTCCAGATAACAGGGCAGCCCTGATAATATGTCTCTACTGTTTCAGTGTGGTAACAGGGTAGTGTCTCTGATGTCTCTGATTATATAGCAAAATTCACAGGAATTGTCCAAAATTCTAATAGCATGTGGGCCTGCTGGTCGTCAAAAGTTGACAACTTAATTGGGCCAAACATTTTCAGCCGAACAGTAACTGCAGCCAGTGAGCTGCAGTCTCTATTCATGTATTCTGATAGTAGCAGATGCTGGCTGTCGGAATACAGTGGAAGAATCCTCCATCCACACTAAGCAGCAGGAATCTATTAGATTTTAAACTCGAATGAACAAAATCTGGTAAATTACAGCCAGCTTTAGGAAATTCTCTCTGATAGCAGATTAATATGTCTGATAACGGTAGCCTTTCTGATAATATTGCAATGAGATGGCAGTCTGTCTTTCAGAATGGTGGGCTCTTAAGCTGGCCATGCACTAATTGTTGTACAAATATTCATGCAAAAAAATCTCATCAGAACATTTCATGGATGTCGTTTGACAAAATTTCATGTGATTTTAACATTCAATTTTTGAATAAATGGTATTTCCAGAACGAAAACCAAATTCATTGTTAGAGTTTTCCATCCTGCTCCTTCAAATTTGTTTTCGTTATTAGAGTTGAAAACAATTGTCGATTTGACCCCATTAACTAATAGAAAGTAGAACGAATGTTCCCAAAAGGAATTTTGATGAGCAAGATTCTACTGGCGTATGACCAGTTTTACAGGACAGTTTTGTGATTCCGTAATGGTTCTCTCTAGTAACGTGGCACTCTACAGTAATAATATAAGACTGTGGCTAGATGTTCATAAGATAATGTATCTAAAAGTTAGAAGATTTCTGAAGCTTCACAAGCTGGTTGTTGCTGTAAATGAAGGGAGAACAGAAGCTGTGGTGTCAGGTTAGTGCAGGAACAGTAGAAATTGGAACAGGTTTTCTAACCTTTCTGATCACTAGATTACCCTAAAAGTAACTGTCCAGCAGCATATTGAAAAACCCACAGATGAAACCTGATTCACCTGGCAAACAGGGGGATTGGGTGACATCTTATGTCTATGGGTACTGTCAGACTGATCCAATTAAAGCCAGACATACCATTGGAAGAAATCATCAGATAAGGTCTGTAGACTTGTTTTTTTTTCTTATTTGATTGCAAACCATCCAAATGTAGCCACTGGCTTAACTGGAAAATTTTGATTTTACTTGACATTTCTTTTTATATGTAACAACATGTCTGTTCTTAAAATGTCACCCTGCAAACTACCAACTGCATATTTTCTTTTGTAGTTCCTTGGAAGCACAGAGGTTGAACAACCTAAAGGCACTGAAATTGTGAGAGATGCAGTTAGAAAACTGAAGGTACGGATTTTGGACTTAATAATCTAGTTTTGTGTTAAAGGAGAGGTTTGCTAAATGTACTGTATATAGGCAGTACTGGACTGAGGTACCTGTCAGGTTAGAGGGAGGGCACACCTAAAAGCTGAGTTCACAAGTGTGGTCAAGGGGCAGTAAAAGCAGGCGGTTGATCCACATTTTCACTGCTCCACAGCCACCCACTGACAAGTTAGCATTGCAACCAGACAGTGTTGTATACATTGCCACCACTGTGATGCTTTGCTTCAAGGTGTAGCTAATTTATACAACATGTCCCATTTGGCAGGTGGTGCCTTTGAGGTGAATTAGACAGCGCAGCAACTACGTGCCAAATGCTTGGCATGTGGTTATGCCAAGGTAGTTCCATGTAAAATCCCACTTGGGATAAAAAAAAAAAAACAGGCATCCAGGAGGCTCGATCCACCACGGATCACTTTTCAGAGGGGCAGCAAAGTCCACTACTCATATAAATGAGCCCTATTCATGTGTTACAGAGGCCAGCAGAGAGTGCACGAATATTGTAAAAGACATAGATTGCTTGCATGTACTGAAAGATTTCATACATGTGTAAAATATAAATTATAAATGTAGTGCTGTAAATGATAACCAAACCAACACTTCACACCACCACTGATGACATAAAGTGCAAATACCAAAATCTTTATAAATTGAAAAAAAAATCTCTTTTGAAAAGGAATTTTGGATGTTGGGAAAGTACAATTAGAGGTGCAACAGTTTTCATTGGCAGAGCACTGAGTGTTCTACTAAGCACTATTTGCCTTTCATTAAACCTCTGTTGGTTGTTTTGTTTTATAATGAGAAGGTCTATCATTACCTCAGTCCAGTGTTCTTCTTCTTCTTTTAACTGCTCTTCTTCCTTGTGCTCCAGCTTGTCCCCAAAGTGCTCTCTCTCCCTCCCCTTTGCGAGTGTCTCCTTCAGCTAGCTGGCTGCTGAGGAACCAACCATGCCTGCTCGCTCCCGGCTGTGCCCGCATCTATCTGTGTGCATCCTTGTCCACGCCAATCACTCCTC